ACACACACACACACACACACACACACACACACACACACACACACACAAGGCGTCTGACTCCACGTATTCAGCTTTCACTAATGTTTTCCCACACTACGCGCAGCTGAATAAAAACAGTGTGCGCGCCGTTAATGGCTATCACAAACTGGAAATGGCCTCATTAGTAAGAGAGTTGACTTATCAGGCTGAGAATTCAGATATGACCGGCCGGTTTTCCAGAGGAATTCACATTGTTTGCACAGTTGAGATTTTTTCTTTCTCTTAAGTGGAGTGAAAACGAACGTCTCGGCCAACATGGCGCATTGTTTGTTTCTACGGTAAACGATACCATACCATTTTCTCCTAACGTGCGAGTCTGGAACCAATTCAGAAAACAACATTAGACTGTATGTCGAAGTTTTAAAGTGTGCTGTTTTAATGGCAGAGCACTCGTATTTACCTAAGTGGCAAATTTATCATTCAGGGTGAAGGGTTGTCAGTGCGAGGTGCTTTTTCTGCGACTTCAAATAAACTCAGCGTGTAATAAAATAGCCCTCTCCGGCGATTTCCGCAACCCGAGGCCTCCAGCTCGCAAGTAGGCACAGAGGCCTGCTCGCAGAGCAGTGCAGACAATGAAAGTGGTGTTACTACTGTACAGCATATAGCCCCAATGCTCATTTGTCCTTTTTTAGAGACCCCAAAATCTGGCCTTTTGTCACCGAGGCAGAGCAGCAGCTGTCAAATCCTCCTTTTTCTCAGATGAGCCCACCAACAATCCTCCACTTCCTCCGTCCGCCTCTGTTCCAAAACTCTGTCTCCCTTTGTAATCCGCGCCCTTAGCCGAGCGTGCTCTTGCCCCCGCGGTGAGATTCCCAGATCCCGGCCCATATCTCCACAAGAAAAGGGACTGATTATTGGCAGGGCAGAGGTAATGCAGCTCTGCTCGGCATTAATTGGCTGATTAACATGAGGACAGTTTAGCACTTCACTGTCCCACACTCAGCCCATTAATCAAGACGGGGGCCGCGCCAGCTGAACCGCCGCCAACGGCGCCGCGCAGACCACTATAAAGAGAGCGGGGAGAGGTGTGGGTTTAGCACACAGCTGAAAGGGAGACGTGATCCACTCTTTGGCGAGACGGAGGGCCGCAGTTTGCAAAGTGGTTCCTGTAAAGAACAAAAAGAAGAATGCGGTGTATGGCAGCAAGATAGTACAGTCCCGGTGTGAGTCGCAGTGTTCACACACGCAGCTCCACTTACACGAAAAGGGGTGCTGTTTTCTCTCCCTTTTTTTCTCTCATTATTCCGTTCGACTTCTTTTCATCGAAGGCCACATTTGAACTTTTCACTCCATCTCCGCGGAAGACGCTCAAACCCGGTTTTTAGGCACAGGTCCAAGTTTTTCTCCTCACCTCCGCCACAGACAGCGGGATCTAAATGTTACTCTTTTCTCAGTGACAGATATGAGGTGGGGGAAATGCTCATATCTCTCTGTATATATAAATGATTTGGAATCAAATGGTGTCCATTTGACAGGGACTGCATGTTCTCACTTCTATGGCTGCTCTCATGCAGACCCTGAATCCCCACTTCAGGATAGAAAATCTGATCTGTCCATTTTTAAACTCCCATAACTAATTATTATGCATTTATATCAGTGTAAATACTTTTTTTTAAACTTGTTTTTTAATTGAAAAAGACAACCTGTGTTAACAGTGAAACACATCTGTATTTTTCAGTTACTCATAAAATGATTCTGTGGAATTGGCTCACTTGTTTTTGCTTGTTTTCGTTTTGTTTATTTTGTACATTTCGGCTCTCTACTAACTTCTGAGTCAGCAGATGTTGCAGCCAGCTGTGCATTCCTATTTCTGTGGATAAGATTCATCTTCTTTTTTGCTTTCTTCATACATTTTCATGAAGTAGTCATCTGTCCTTATATTTTGACTTACACATGCAATACAATCTGTTGTTTTTAATGTTCTCTTTTACTTTTTCTATTGTCCAGTTTTTTAATTCAGCCCTTGGGTCCAAAAAGATTCCAAACTCTTTAGTTTTTTTCAGGATATTAGCAGACATGGCTGCTTACAGAACTCCTTCATTATTCCTTTTGAAATCAGTCACATTTCCGACAGCTCAGTGGTTCCACTAGTTCCTACAGAAATTACCTTAATTTATCAAATCTTTTTTTTGTGTGTCTTTGTGTGCATCATGTTTTCTCTTTCCCTCCCTTTTCCTTTCATTTTATTTCACTTCAAAGTGTTGTCAATAACCGCCAGAATCATGGAGTTGACTTCTGAGAGGTGCTTAATCTCTGTTAATCTTTGACCGCTTGTTTGTCGAGCGGCTGATCAGAGACAGCTCAGTTTGTGCCGAAGAACTCTCTGAGAGTACTAGTTTTTTTCCCCCCTCTTCGAAGTAGTCTCGGCTTGCACGCACCCGAGCCACCACCCACCTCTGTGGATGCCAGTCTGCCACTCAGCCCCGGCGTGCAAACAGGTGACATCCTGACAAGCGATAACTTGCGATTGTTGGTTTTAGCCCGCGCACCTGGGCTTCCCTCGGCGGAGCCAGAGAGAGACGGCGTTCAGGCCAGCTGATGTTCCTGTGAGCCAAAGCCTCACAGCTGCTTCCCCGTGTCTTTTTCCCTGTTCCTGTGTTTAGGCACACTCTTGCCTCTTGAGTAAACACAGTAAAGGCACAGTTTGGAGTTTCTATGATGCTGTTCTCTCAGCATCACTCTTTTTTTTTGCGGTGCTTTTTCCAGATTTTTTCTCTGGTTGTTTATGCAGCCTATGTCCCGTGGGGTGTGCGGCAATATGGCGGGTGCATCTTTTCAGTGCGAGTTCTTTTACTTGGTGGAAAGAGTTGTTTTTTAAACTTTTAAGTATGCTTTTAAATTCCTGCTGCCTGAGTGCTTAAATTACAGTCATTAAACGGAAACACTTCACCACTCGCTGTCACTAGAAATGATCGCATAACACAAAGCTATTTTGTCTCCGTCAGCTCCTGCAGAAGAATAGGAAATGGCTCACCACAGCCTGTTATCAATTGAGCCCTGGTGGCTGGCGATGGGTCGTGCGCGGGCTTTGATAGCTTGGAGGGAGCCGGCAGTGGAAGGCTCCCTCGGCTTTGCTTGACGCTTTGGTCTCGTCTGTTTTCCGTCTTCATCATCTGGCAGATAATTGTCGGCACAATCATGGGTTTCTGTGGTTGTTAGTGTTCATAATTGAAAGCAGCAGCCTTCTCCCCTTAGCTTCCGGTTCAGTTGTGCCCCCCATCTCTTTATTCACGCGCCAAGCGAATTCATAAGGCTTGGTTGGGGTTCATTTTGGTTAAATAAGGAGTCTTATTTAGTCTAATTTTGAATTATACTGCTCATGCTCGTGTGAACAGAGACAATGGGAGTTCTTTCCAAACCCTTTTAAGACAGCAGACTTATTTTTTCCTGCTGGATTTGATCTTTGTGATCCATCAGAGAGACGGAAATCATAGAATTCTGGGAGTTTGTTTCTAAAACAGCTCACGTCATTCAAAATGTCCGCCGCTGCCGTCAGAAGTGACCCGAGATCGCCGCCAAACGCCAGAACCATTGACCTCCGTCTGTTAATCACACAATCAAATTACCTTTGACTCGAAGCAGCTGGAAAGCAGCCGGCTCCGAACGTTTACTGGACCTACCTGCAGCGGCGCACGTGCGCGGGCACATCAAACCCGAGCGGCCCAATTATCCGCCTGCAGCCACCGCGACACATGGCGGCGGAAATAACGACACGGGCCGAGAGGGCGGCTGATGGGAACCAGATGGGGGGGGGGGGGGGGGGGGGCGGGGCCGGACAAACTGTGAAATGACAGCGCGACGCACACGTCGGGGCCGAAATTCACATCATACCACCTACACACACACACACACACACACCCAGACGGTGGAAAACCTGGAGATGTCTGTTCGCCCGTGTCTTCTCACTCCCCACACAGGTGTGTTAGCCATCCCAGGCTCCTGCAGTGCACAGTAAAGCCTTCTGTCTTTCACATGTGGGATTCTGTTATTGGAAACTAAGTGGATCCATTTTATGAGCGCAGCACTGCAGCGGGCCTGGCTCGGGGCCCGCCCCCGGAGGCTCAGTACGCCTTTTTTTTCCTCCGGCCCGGGCTACAAAGCGCGTTCCCCCCTCTCTCTCTCACGCCGCTCCTGACCCCCTTGACGCATTTCCTGACCCAGGAAATAGAATTAACACCTCTTTTTTGTGCCCCGGGGTCCGAAAACCCGCAGCCCGGCCCGGTTCAGATGGCTGCAGCTGGGTCGCAGAGACATCAGGGACAGTAGAGGAACAATAAGATACAATGAGATAGACCTATGTCTTAGATTTAGGATTATTTTTTTGTTTTCTAATCTGATACAGACTGATATGAGGAGCTTTGATTGATTCATTGATCAGTGGCTTCCTTCTGGGCGTTGACCATAAGAATCTTGACCTCTGTGTGATGGCGTGTCCAGTTGGTCAGACACTGTTGATTCAGCGTTCTCCCTAAAGTCTATCAAAAGGCCCCGGAGTCATGAGAGCAGTAAATCTGTAAAACTGTGGTTTAGGTAAACTGGATTATCTGTTTATTAGCTCTTTTATGTGAACTATATATCAGGACATGCATCCTGATATTCCATTGCGTAAGTGCTTTATCTGTTTTCCTCATTAGCCAAAGGCTTTTATCGGGCAGGCAACTACACGCATCTTTAGGCACATTCACACACACACACACACACACACACATAGATTAGCCAGTTCCTGCATTAAAGAAGCCCATATGTTTGCATTTTAGTCACACATTTCCAATCTCTGGGGAGCACTTTGAAGCATACTCCTCTGGAGCAGATCATAAAACAGGAGTATAAGTAGGTTTTCACATTGTAGTATCCCAGAACACACCCCACCCAACAGCTCAGTGCCTCCACCTTCCACGTCTGCCAGATTTTCTTCTCTCAACATGCTGGACGAGCAATCAGCTCAGAGGTTCTCTGCGATGGCGATTAAAGTTTCCTGTGTGCAGGACACACTTTACACACTCTTAACTGAGATTTCTATGTTAAGCAAATGGATCGACGTCGGATTCAGAAAGAGAAAAGGAAACGCACACAAATAAACTTTTTTTCCGACTTCCGTCAGGCGAGAGGTCGAAACCCAAACAGCTAAACTGGGTCAGAGGCCTCACCGTCAGGCGGTGGTTTCAGACTGCGAAATGCACCATCCGCCTTGTCAGTTTTTCTGCTTTGGCCCTCGTGTTTCTCCCACTCTAACCTGCTCACATTTGTGTCTCCGCAGTACTTCGAGGTGCCCTTCGACTCCAACATGAACCGCACAAAGAACCGCCCCCTCGTCAGAGGGCAGATCAGGTACGGTTTTACAGTTTTCTCTGCAGCACCTGCGCTCTTTGCTCTTTTTTTCCCCAAAAAAAGTTGGACTCGACCGCGTTCAGGAGGAGAGAAAAACCAGCTGAGTGGGGCGCTGCTTGACAGCTACTTGGCCACCCAGGTTCCCTTTTGTGCTTTCCACAGTGGGTGAATGACAAAGTGTGTGGCTAACTCCTACTCACTGACCCCGATCCTTACCTTGTACTTCAGCGGGGTGTTTTTTTTTTCCCCGAGGTGAAACGCGACCTGAGAGCTGGCGCTGTCAAAACCTGCGTGTTTTCGCAGGTCGTGTCATAATGAAAACTGCGCCTCAAAGAAAACAGCAAGCGCTAAGAGAATATTCCCGCGCGCGTTCAGGAACGGGATCAGCCACTGACTTTTCAGAGGGCCGGAGCAGTTAGGCCCAGCCAAGGCTCATCAGACCACCTACACTTCGCCAGACCCCCCCGTTTAGACGCCCAGTGACGTCTGCGCATGGCCACGCTTTCCTGCGACCGCATGCGGTCGTGTCTTCCTGCCCCCCCCCCTCACAAATAGTCAGCGGTGCAGAAACCAAAAGAAACAAAGCAGCCACACGTCTTCCTCACACAGTCGGTGTCAGACATGCTTTCTATTTCACCCTTAGAGGAAAAGCCGCTCGAGTCGTAGTTCATTTCTGCCCGGTTCGATTTAAAGGAAAGCAGCCAGTAAAATGGAAACTGGGTAAATGGCCGTCGCTCGTTGAATAAACAGCTTGTTGACCGGAGCTTGACTCTGAACTATCTCGACCCAGTTTTTCTGAAATTCTTCATTGACGTCGTGTTTAAAGGTGGCCCTGGTGCCGTTGAGGTGGTTATTGAAATCATTCTGACTGTCTAAACACGGGCCTCTCTCCCCGGCTTTTAGCTGCCCTGTGACAGGAGGAGGTGTATATCTGTCTGTCCATCAGCTAACCGCGCAGACACACTGGCTCTCCGTCTTTGTTCCTCCCTGCCCACCTTCTTTGCCTTCACACACACAATCTAATGTGGAGACAGAGAGCAGATGGAGAGCTGGACTGTCCTGTCAAACAAGCCATCAGAACGCCGCTTTTTACACATTCTCCTCCTCCTTTCTTAGCCGATGCCAAATTCGGCTTGTCTTTGTCTCCCGCACTCTCAGTGCGATTGCAAACCAGTTGTTGAGGCAACAGAAGTCTCTTTCCCACCTTTTCTTCTTTTTTTTTTTCCTTTTTGAAATACGAGTGAAAGATGTTCTTCCTCTGTTGTGGTCGTGTCAGATTGAGCCTCGGACATGTGGTGTCGATGAAGAGCTCTTAGCTAAGCCCACGAACCAGAGAACGGCGTGCGATTATGTGTCTCCCACAGGAAGGAGGCACATCGCAGTTGCCGAGTCCAGCCTTCTGGAACCGGAACAAATTGGGGGCTGCAGAGAGAAATGTCGGAGGCTTCTTTCAGTTTACATCTTGATTTTTATTTATTTTTCAAATTTCCCCGAAGAGCTCTCTGCATGCTCCGTGCCGTTGTGGATTGATTAGATTCAAATGTGCAGAAGACATGAAGTGATTCATTCCTAGTTTTAAGGCGTTTGGCTCGAATATATCATCTGTCCGTCCACCAGTCGTAGAAATGTGCTCTTTTTTTTTTAAAGCACCGTTTGATATTGAGAAACCGAGTCAGACAGCCAGACATTAACGGCCGGAGCGTGAACCATGTTCTCAGAGGCCAGAGCATGAAGTCCGGAGACGCTGACCGGCGTCCGGCCAGGCCACGCACCTTTTTCCCTGACCCCCGCCGAGCCAGTCTGCTCGGCCCCACATAAAACCGACACCAACACCACCAATCACGTTAACGGGCCGGTCTCCCCGCATGGCCCCCGCTCCCCCAATAAAAGCCGCGTTTTGCTTTTTGAAGAAAAAAGGCCTCCGACCGGTCAAGATCCGAATCTGCTCTGCTCTTTAATTTATAGAGCTGCTGAATTTGAACCAGACCTAGCCATCATTGCTTTCATTAAAGAAAAAAAAAAAAAAAGCAGGGGGAGGAGTCGGAAGTCTTCATCTGGCTCGAGCGCTGTGGTTTCCTCCAGCGAGGTTTGATCTCCGGCGTGTGCACATGCGGGCTTTTTTATCCCTGACAAACTCTGATCAGATGAGTGTGTGTGTGTGTGTGTGTGTGTGTGACTGTGTTTGTGCGTGTGTGTTGGCTTAACATGTGCAGCTATCATTGTCTTATCTGGTGTCGGCACCGGTCTACACTTTCTTTTTTTTTTTTATCGTCCTAAACATCCCACAGTAGGGACGAGCCATTGCTTCTGTCTGACCCGTCCATGTCCAGCCGACCGGTCTGATCCACCCTCTCTGTCTCTCTTCTCAGTCCCCTTCACGCGGTGTCTTTCGCCCTGGCCTGCGGCGTTCCCGGCGTGGCCCTGCTCACCCTGGCGGTGAACCCGCTGACCGGCTTCCTGGGCGCCCTCAACATCGTGCTCTACACCTGCTGCTACACGCCTCTCAAGCGCCACAGCATCTCCAACACCTGGGTGGGGGCGGTGGTGGGAGCCATACCCCCCATGATGGGATGGACGGCCGCCACGGGCTGCCTGGAGCCGGGTAAATATGCGGGGACTCTGAACCGCCGAAGGTTTAGCGTTGAATTAAACATGAAACATAAATAAACTATCAACTGTAGAAATGGCCGGCAACCTCAGTGTAAGCAGGTAGGCTCTTATTTTCTTTATGAGCACACACAGTCATGTGTTGGAATTATGAACGACAATATCCGTCTCAGCTCCACATTCCTGTAATTTCCCCCTTTTTATATGATGTAATCCACCGGTGACTGATATTTGAAAGGAGAGTGCTTCTGGTTGGATTCAAGTGGGGAATCGGAACAGAACGGGGTAGCAGCATCAGTATTCCAGAGGGTGAAACCCCTCCTCACGGCCAGAAGTGAACCGCGCTGGTGTGGAGTAAGATCTGGAAAAGGAAAGCTGCGCCTGCCAGGAGCAACGTCTCACTCTGAAGGATGTGCAGCCCTGATAAGATCTGTGACTTTTACAGGGAGTTTTAAAGCAGAAACAGCTAGAAAACACCAGAGGCGTCTTTATTTTTGACTCCTAATGGGGATTTCACACTCTCAGATCCAGATGTTTCCATCCAGTAAAGCAAGTAACTACGAATTGTGGTTAACTTTTTGTTTTAGTTTGGGTTGACAATGTACAAATGGATGTTTATTATCATTTGTGAAGTGGAGACTTCACAAAAGTTGGACTTAAAAAATAGCTTTTTTTCCCCAAAGCCGTTAAACTTTTGTCGTAGCACGGGGCCCCATTCGGCATGCCTGAATTACTCCAGCAGCCTCTTCAGCCCAGCGTCATTAATCCGCCTCCTTTTTCCTGCCCCCCCCCCCCCCCCCCCCCTCTTTCTTTTTGTGGGGTCCCGATTTCCCCCCCCCCCCCCCCCCCCCCCCCCCCCTTTCCCCCCCCCTTTTTTTCCCCCCCCCCCCCCCCCCCAGGTGCTTTGTTGCTGGGTGGCTTCCTGTACAGCTGGCAGTTCCCCCACTTCAACGCCCTGAGCTGGAACTTGAGGGAGGACTACTCCCGCGGCGGCTACCGCATGATGTCCGTCACCCACCCGGCCATGTGCAAGCGGGTGGCCCTGCGCCACAGCCTGGCCCTGATCGGCCTCTCCGCCCTGGCCCCGGCGCTGGACCTCACCACCTGGACCTTCCCCCTGGTCTCCCTGCCCATCAACCTGTACATCAGCTACCTGGCCTTCCGCTTCCACCACAAGGGCGACCGCGACAGCGCCCGCAAGCTCTTCTTCTGCAGCCTGTGGCACCTCCCCATGCTGCTGCTGCTGGCGCTCACCTGCAAGACCCGCAGCCGGCGCCAGGAGGACGCCGTCGCCACGGCGACCGCGGCCCCGCCGACCACGCCCACGGCCGCTTAGCATCGGCCTTTCGTCTCCTCACCTGGGCCCTTATTTTAAGCGCGGTACTCCTTCCGGCGTCCCCTTGTGGGCGTCCACCACGGACGCGCTTAACGTCAGGAACCGAGCCGGGAAAGTAGCCGCATTACAAAAAAACACACCGGCTCACTAGACCAGGTCGGAATCGCTTGAAGGTGCGCGCTGTAAATAACCTGTATTTATTTTTCCTCTCCACGTTGTACATGACAGATGTTTAATAACCTTGTACATTGTAAATTTCTCTTAAACATCCACAACCGACCTCGCCGTGTGCTTATTTTACAAATGCAGAAGTGCTTTATCGTCATATTTGTGTGATTTTCAGCGAGCGGGGAAACAAGACGATATACTGTCGGTGAGGTTTTTTGTGACAGCCCCGAGAGGCATCCTTTCATCTTAACGTTTATCTGAAACACGCACCAAAAAACGAAGGGAGTTCTTACTCCAGACTGAAAGGGCAAACATACCTCAACAATAAACTCATCATGGTTGTAACTCTCGTCTGTGGCGTCTTCATTTCTGAAGCCTTTCAGTGTGAACACTTCAAACTGTTTTTTTGATGCCTTCCATTTTGTTTGGACTGCTTTGCACCCTTATCAGACGTTAAAAAAAAAAGAAAACCAGCTTGTTAGGAGGTGCTGTCTTGGTTGTGCCTCATAAAGTGGGTGGATGTGCTCAATGGCCAGCTCCGTTTAGCAGGCCACCTCCGCACCTGTCAGTCAACATGTGCTCCCTTTCCGCCCTTTCCCCTTAGTTTTGGTATTCGGTTACATTTCCTACGGCCGCAAATGGGAGAAAACAAGCGTCCCCTTTCCCCCCCCCCCCCCGCCGCTGCCATCCTCCCTCCATAAAAGAGGGTCGGGGGGATTTAGTCAAGGCCGAGAGACCTGAAACGGCTCGACGTCCTCGTAAAGCGTCTGACCGGATGCAGAGTTTTCCATATCAGAGAGGGGGGGAGAGGGGGGGGGGGGGGGGAGCGGTGCAGCCAGCTGTCGTGGGGAAAAGGCCCAACCTGCGTGGAGATAGAATGTCCCCGCCAGAGTCTGCGGGGCTCAAAGCGGACGGCCTGTCCTGGGTTTAAAACATCCGCCGCCTGATGGCGAGTGGCCTTCCCTCCTCAGCGTCCTGCTTCAGATCTATGGGAAAAAAAGGGTGAATTCCAGCTTTTTTAAAATTATTACTCACAATTAACTGAAAAATAGGCTGTTAATAAGGAGTCAACACTAACGAGCTCCTCAAAACTTGACCCAAGAGGATTTTTCTATGGAAAAATGTTTATTTTAATAATGGTTTTAGTTTCCTTCTCTCAAAAGGAGAAAAATGGGTGCAGTTTTGTTTCCCTTTTCCATGTTCTGATTGGGAGTAGATTGTTTTTCAGATCTTTGTGAGGTGGATCTTTGAGATAGGGATTTCACGTTCACGCAAATAAGGAGTGGACAGCAGAGTTGGACGTTTTTAGCTTTTATCTGCTCGCCTTTGCTCTAATATAAGGTACCGTTAATATGTCAAAGTCATTATTTCATGATAAGGCCCTTTTGCGCAGAGCTCTCCCCTGAGCCCCACTGCTCACATCGGGCTCTAAATCAGTCACGTTATTTGCCCCTTCAGTGCCAAAGCCAGCTCTCCTGCCAGAGTCAACAGAATCAAGAGGAGAAATATGCATCTGCAAACCGAAGCAAGTCCCCAAACGGCCCTTCCACAGCAGGTTTTTACTCTCCACGCAGGGCTCTTCAAACTCAAATCCCCGGATGACAGATGACCTCTGGCCTTTCTTCAAAGGTTGGTGTTCCACACATATATATATATATAGATATATATGGTTGTTGCACATATATATCAATTCTAAATCAAAATGGACCCTAAAACAATATTTAGAGTGAATCTATTCAACTGTAAAAGCACTCCCGGTGGTTCCTGGTTCTGGAGACCCAGACAGGAACCGAAAGAGTGACTTTGACGTCATAGGAGAACTTTCTGTGAAGTCCACTTTGACTTTTCAGCGTAAATTTCCACGCAGCCTTCCGCGATCACGCGTCATCCCAAAAAAACCCCAAAAACGGACTTTTTCTCATGAATATTTTTGTCGACATTATTATCCTCCCGGTTTGACCCTCATGAGTCGATCTTATGAGTCGAGGCTTCATTACGTCGCGATTCGGACCTAATCTGAGCCAAAGGGACCAAAGTCAGCCCTGGGTGTCCATTCAAAAAGAGAATCAGTTCATTTATTTATTTAGTGTCATAATCATTGCTTAACCCTGTAAGACCCACTGTTGCAGAATTACAACATTTTTTGTCCTCCCAAAATAAACCTTTTTTTTTTTTTTTTTTTTTGGTTCAACTGCATTAAAATACTCATTGGGTCATGTTGTTTGGTTTCAAAATGCTATTGGGTCCTACATTTGTATACAAGGCCTGTCCTCAGGTGAAGAAGTCACACAACCTCCAGATTTTTGCTTGAGCATCATCCCCTCGATTTACTGGACTGGATTTATCTGATTAAAGTAAGTAAAAGGCTTTGCATATTTTTTTCTGTGTTTATTACAGTGTCTACAACATGTGAATATGTAGTTATTGTAGAAAATGTGCCCTACATTTTATCTAGAGCTTGTTTTGTAATTGTTGCAAAATTACAACATTGGGTGAATGTGGTAGTCAAAACAACCCCTGTTTTTTGAGAGGAATGCCCAATATAACTTTGAACCACACATAATTTACACATTCTAGCCCTTAGCCTTGTATTGGATTATATTGGATTATATATATTATTGTGTTAGAACCTAATATACATTAAATAATATACATATCTAATCATTTTAATTTGTTTTTAAGGATTTCTAACCACCTCCAACACTCAGTATTTTTCCCTTATCACAGAAGGCAGGGCTTTCTAACATGTCTACAACACAACAGACATGTTCTGCATGTCTGCCCATGTGTCTTGGCTATTGATAAGGAAAGGTTCCAATCAATTCATAGTCAAAGCAGGTGTGGGGGATGCTTGGAGGGGCCTTTGCATTGAATTGCTCAGGAACAGGGGTTGATGTTCAGGAATGTAAGGTGTGGCTGTGAGTTGGAGGCTACTTACATTCCTATTACGATGATAATCAGAGTTTAGAATTGGTCGGCCACACAGTATTGTGGAACCAGTGAAATGTGTGAATAGGTTACTTCAGTGCCATGTGTAAACACTTCAAATCAAATTAAAATCAATCTCTCGACCACCCCGTCTTTTCCTGCAGGTTATCTAGAATATAAGTATGTATACTATGTACATATACATTTGTTTCAATTTTATCTTTTCCATTTCAGAATGCCAGCAGCAAGGAAAGATCCTCGGTACAGTGTGCAGGATATCATTGCAATCATCCAAGATGGAGAGAGTGATGTGGACGTACCCCTTGATGACAACGATGCAAGTGACGAGGAGTCAGACAATGATCCCTTTGTGGACAAAGAAAACCAAGAGCCCTCTGACTGCCCATCCAATGTGGCAGTGAGCCCCAAGAAAATGAACGCATCATGCCCCGAGACAGATATCGGAGGCAAGAAAGGTCAAGAGAAGACGTTGCAGACATTGCAGTAAAGGGTATACGAATACCCATTGCAGCAAGTGCGATGTTCGCCTCTGTTTTTCATAGGAAAGGAACTGTTTTTGGGACTATAATTGTAAATAAAAAGTTCTCTTTGCTGGAATAAATAAAAAAAACTGTTCATAAAAACATGACTGAGATTATTTTTCATCTTATACTGTTCTGGGATAAAAGCAAAATCCTGCAAATGAATCCGTAGTTCAGTATTGGTGTTCAGACAATGAGTGCAAATACAGGAAATTCTGCTCCCCATTTGACCCAATGTTGCAATATTACAACATTTCTGTAAAAACTTACTAAAACATATTTTTTTTAAAAACACTTCATTTTCAGCCTCAAAGGCCTCCTACAACCACATCTGAATGGTTGAATTTTTTTTTTTTAGTGTTTTTCTATATTTGGGTTTTACAGGGTTAAACGGCCTGTCAGAGCAGCCTTGGAGGTGGTTTGTTTTAGATTAAGTTGAAGTTTAATTTAAAGGTTAAAAAAAAAAAAAAGTTTATTGTTCGTTTGCAATCAAATGCAGGTATGAGTTTTCTGAACTTCTTAAGTTGTTTGCTTACAGGATTTAAAGCAACAAAACTGAGCATGGGTTTAATTATGTCAGTAAAATGAAAAATATCGAGAGGGGACCAACTTGTGATCGATTTTCTGACTTTTTTGTGACAAAAAAAAGAAAGCATTGTGCGTCTTTCCGCGTCCTAACCGTGATTTTTTAAAATCAGGAAAAGTTTTGGGCTCAAACAAGATGATTCTGTGGATAATAATAATTAGGGGACATACATTGAAGAAGCGTATTATTTTTTAATGAGAGAGAAAGAGACTCAAAAGGGATCCAACCTGTGAAAAAGTTTCCATATTTGCACCCTTCTTAACTTCATTCGTACTTTGTCTGACTACAGTGCTAAGACAGTTATGACAAGAAAATATAAAACATTCCTAAATAGATTATACGTAACATTTTAGTATTAATAATAATTATATCAATACATTATTATGACAATAAAATAGTAATGACTTTAAAAACAATTCACTCTCTTGATACACATGGATAACCTAAATTTAAAACAGTTAATAACTACAACCAAATAGTATTGTTTGTGAACTCCTTGACTTTATTTCTCCCTTCAAGCTTGAACTGACGCCTCCACTGTTTGTTAGAACATTTCAAAAGCCAAACTGTCTATTAAAAAGAAAATAGAAAAGAAAAAAAAACTAATAAACTTAACTTTACACATGAGCCCCAGGGTTAATTTGGTCTTCCAAACGTTTTCAGTGAATCTAAGTTTTCTAATAGATTTCAGTTTCTCTTGTTAATCTTTTCACTTTAATTTTTTTATCGCTAGAAATGGGGGTGTTAAAATAAATTAAATAACATGCTTAAAATACGTCCAAACGAACCTGACCGAGACATTTCCGGTTGTTTAAGCACCTTTGAACGATAAGCCCGCAGGAGAGCTCCGAAACCGCGGTTAATTGCCAAATAAGAAAGTTTTCCAAACTCTCAGCAGAGTCGACACACGCTTCATTTCCATACGGAGGGTCCCACGCTCCGGACCGCCCCCGCCCGCTTCTGATTGGCTCGCTTCTGTCAACAAAACGGCTCCCTCGCTCGCCATTGGCTGGCTCGGCCGTCACTCTGACGCGTTGCCCCTTTATAAGCTTCCGCGGCTCCACCGGCTGCTCCATCCAACCTGAGGTGAGCCTGCAAACCGGTCGGAGTTTTTTTTTCTCTCTCAGCCACAATTATGATGAATAAACTCCTCCATGCCAATTCACTCCCGGATACGTCCTCAATCTCGATTGCGTTGAGATAATTTTTAAAATTTTTTGCTGTCATTTGCAACGTTTATTTATTTGATTTGATTCTTTTCTTTTTTTTTTTTTCTTTTAGTTTTAGGTAACCATGTGCGTAATTTTGCGGGGATTGCAGAGGAGCCACCGGGAGTGAGTTAGGGCAATATGCGCCGTTGGGATTTGACTTCCAACCGAGAGGCTTATGGAATATAGCCCAAGTTGCCACAGTCTGTATGCCTTCTGGTCCGGCCCCGCGAAGAAGAAACTTCTCCTTGTGAGCATCATGTTCTTCGTCTGGGTCTACATGCTGTACTCCTGCGTGGGCTACTGCTCCGGCGTGCCCAGCCTGGTGGTGGAGGGTTACCGGGGCAAGGAGACCGGCCCCGGGGTGGGGAAGAGGACAGAGACCGGCCGGTCGGACCTTGTGTCCAGGCTGCTGGCCAGCCCTCCGCAGCCCTGGGAGGATGTGGAGAGCGACTACGACGAGCCGTCCATCCGGACAGCAATGTCCAGAGACCTGCTCCACAACGAGCCGGACGCGGACCGGGCCGAGGACTGGGAGGAGGCGCGCGCCGACGCGCACCGGGCGCCGGACCCCAGCGCCATGTCCAGCTTCTCCAACGGCTCCGGGAGCAAGAAGCTGCCGCAGGCCATCATCATCGGGGTGAAGAAGGGAGGGACGCGGGCCCTGCTGGAGTTTCTCCGGGTCCATCCCGACATCAGAGCCGTGGGAGCCGAGCCGCACTTCTTCGACCGCAACTACGAGAACGGGCTGGAGTGGTACAGGTAAAAAAAAAAAAAAACACTTCATTCGTCTTACGCACGGCCACCAGACAGGGCTCCAAGCAGAGAGCAGCAACTTTCGAGGTCCACATCCCTGGACGAACTTTAAGGAGGAACTGGCACCGCGGTGGTGCCGTTTAGAGAAAGAATAATCAGCCAAAAACGGGCCAAAGAGACGTTTTCCCTAATGGGTTATATTATCCTTGCTGAACATTTTGGCATATTTTTATATTTTCCCCACACTGGAAAATTATGCCAAATTGATAGTCAACATATATTCGATTAACAAATAATTACCGTCGTCCTGGTTTATTCAAAACCATTTTTTTACTAAGCAAAGTAAACACTCGTTGGTTGTGACCTCTGCTTTGTTTCGCCTGTTTGCTCATTAGAAGTTGATTAAAGAAATATATATCGACGCGTAAATATGAGGCGTAACCGTCCCCATCTTGTGCGTAAACGTGTTTTTTGGAGAGTATTGGCGTTATTTGGCTGAATATTTACGCGTTGCGCCCGGGCTGGATCCGCGATGTGCAGTGATCTCTGTTGGACGCTGCGCAACACTGCACCTCCAGCCTGGGGAGTTAGACTCTGAATTCAAGTTTGGCTGCTCGTTATTTAGCAGGCACGGTATGGATTTGTTGGTTAAAACAACTTTGTGAAAGCCAGGGAGTTAGAAAAAAAACGTGCTGCATTCAAACTTCTTTTAGACAACATCTGACTAAAGTTAGTAATTGTTTACCTCTCTTTCTCTGTCTCTTTATATATATATATATATTTGTATGCATATATGTCAGCCTATACATTATAACTAGTTTTGGCTTAATAAGGTTAAAATGTTGATACAATTCTCAAAGTTTCTTTGTTAGATTTTTTGACGAATGGAAAGTTTTGATAGATTGTTTTGTAGGATATTATCAGATCTGATATACTTCACGTAGTTTGGACTGTTCTGGGTCCGATGGCTTCAGGCCTTAAAGCTGCAGGAGAAAGGGATCTGCAAGACAAAACGAGGAGCATTCGTAGAATAAACCGTCTTCAGAGGTCGATAAACTGTCTTTATCCTGTTCATTAACATCACAAAGTGCTAATATAATGAGCAGAGGGACCGTTGAGCTTAATTACTGCACTTGGTTGGTCCCAACATGGCAGACTTTGTTAAATGAAATGAAGATAGAAAGATCTTTTCTTGAGTTTTAAACATTTCCTATCAGTTTTTAGTGTTTCTTCAAAAAAAAAAATACATTGATTCATTCATGTAATCATTCCAGTGGCCAATTTCAAAGGCTGGTTCTATCTCTTAATCAAGGTTAAATTAAGCCATTAAGCTGCCTAATGACCCCATCAATTTATTGACTGGCTTTTGAATTAATGCGTAATTCCAGTTTCATTTGCAATAATTTTCCTCCAACCATTAAAATGTAATTTTATTTTTTAATCTACGGTTTTCCATTGTGTGTTTTTTTGTGTTTTTCTTTCCCCCCAAACTTTAGAGAGGAGCAGCTTCTGTGTTTAAACATTTCCTCGCTATATAAATTAATTACTATAATGTAGTTTAATATGCAGGTCTTGCAAAAAACGGAAAGGACAACAACGTTCCACCTCATCGAGGGGGAAAAAAAGAAGCGAATGTGAACCAAGTGTTGGCAGATTTAAAATGAAGGCACCACTCCTTGAGTCGTGCGATGTTTCATGTGTCTGCTCTGATACAGAACTTTGATTTACTGCAACCAAATGTTCTGCTTTTGGTTTGTAGGCAAGCCATTTTTCAACCCAACTTCCACTTACTGAGTTTCCAACATTTCTGGACTCGTAACTATGGAAAAGTGTCTGCTGGTTTCTAGGCCATGGAATCTAATACTTTTTAAACCACTCAAAGAAGTCGTGACTCAAGGCTTTCTGATAGATCACAGGCCCTGCATACAAATGTTCGCACACATAACCTTCATTTTAAATTATTTTCCTTCAAAACAAAGAGAATTTGAGATATTTTAGTGTTGGGAGTGTTTCTTCTAGACAAAAAATCCAGTCAAACTACAGTTACAGAAGGCCAACATATGTCATTTCGAACTTCTATGAAGTAAGAAGATGGTGCGAACAGCTGGTGTTAGAAGTTCCTGTAAGGGGGGGGGGAGTTTTTTCTATTTGTTCTTGTGCATGAGAATGACCATGGAAAAGAATTTGCACTTTACTAATTACTGATCTTATTAACTGCCCCATTAGGGCCAGATACTGGGGAGAGAAAAGGAATTTTCCAGACAGAAACAAAATTGCACGGCAATGAAACAAAGTCTGGTGGGATCCCGGTGGGATCACGGTCCTTTATGGAGACGGTTAGGAGTGTGTTTGTGTACAGGGGTTGTGCAACTCACCTCTCTTTGTTTGTCCGTTTGCACAATCGCCCCTCCGCCGCCGCCGTGCACTTTTTGCCGCCAGCTTTCACCATCCACGCCTCCCCCAGCGGACACGCATTTAGGCCTGGAATTTCACCGGGTGAAGGCGGCCATAGAGAGCAGACAAGAGTTGAGGAGGCAGCCGAAAAAGAGAGAGAGAGAGAGAGTTCCAAAAACCAAAAGAGGTGGAGATAACAGCCTTTCCCCTCTGGAGTTGTGATGTTGATTGTCCGTTTCTGTTTGGGCCAAAGACAAACGCAGGATTCATGCGTTTGACCGAGGGGTCCTTGTATCAGGAGGTACACATTTTCTAAGTGAGGTCATGCATGAACCGGCCGGAGAGAACACACACACACTCTCACACACACACACACTCTCACACAAACACACGCACAGTTGAAGCTGAACAGATCACTGTGACTGAATATGAACAGGACGGTTCATTATTTTCTGTTTGCACCTGTTTTGTGGCATGAAAAGTCAAAGACAGTGTAAGTTGAGCATTCTGATAACTTATCTTGAGCACCCACTTGAGTGTATTCCTCAAAGCCAATCAGAATGAAAGCCCAGTGGGATTTCTGTATGCTACAGTAAATCTATCCATTTAAGAATAAAAAACCAAGAGAACAATTTAAAATATACTATTAATGAATAAGGAAATAATTTACATATATATACAGTATACATATATATATAAATATATTTTTTTCTTTTTAAGGATTTTCTTTCAGTTTTTATCAAAGTTCAGATATTTAAGCATTTCTCTAAAAAACGCCATGGGACTTTGGATGTTCTTAAAGCAAATAGGACCCGGCTGATAACTTCCCTTCCTCCCATTAGCTTGTTCCCGTACCAAAAGCTATTCTATTCAGTCCCAACTTCACTCAATGGCTGTCCTCATCTCGTTCTGTCAGTCTGTGGCGCATGTTGCTCTCTTCACGTTCCATTTACTCGTATTGGCCCTGAAAGGGCCTTTGATATTTAATTGCCGCGCTGTGGTTTTGCTGTCGTGTCGCGGGCTCTGGACTGAGCCGGCTGTCAGGGCCGAGGCAGCGATGACACCGTCGCTCCTCCCTCTGAACGGCAGCGGCCTTAAACGAGGAGAGTGTATTTACAGAGTTGTGGTGGTGTGAGATTTATTTTATATGATGGCGGTGTTGTGTTTGCGCTGTTGGAGGTTAAATTTAACTGGAACGCGTTAGCGGTTGTCAGTCACTCCGCTGATCTCGGCATTAAGACAAGCTAAAACGTTTGCCTGTGGTTGGGAATTTAGAATTTAAGAGAACCGATCTGTGACAAATGACGCAGCGGATACTTTTGAGTCCACCGTTAACTGGTCAGGATTAAGCGCCACGGGATGTGGTTCATAATCAAAAGGTTAGGCTCCAGTTACCGTCAAGAGACAGGATGTCTCTCTGGTCAACCTTTTGTATCTGGACTGTGATAAAGCTCTGTGGAGGTAAACAGACTCACAAAGCAGCATTAGTTGAAGCTGCTTATACAGCTACCAAAGGACAAGTGGAGTACTGTTGAAAAAGGGGGCTCCCAGAAGGAAAAAAGAAGAAAAAAAACGGGTCCCACTATCGGGCCTGGCCTGCTTGTGGAAGTCTGGGCCGTTTGAAAGCCGTTATCTGTCTCCTCCCCCCTCGGGGTTGATGCTCCCGGCCATGTCAGACACGGTTCTGGATGGGTGCACCTCCTTTTATCTGCTCGCCACAGGAGCGCGCCCGTTTCCACGTAGGTGACCCACACATTCTGCGCCGCCACTGACCTCGCCTTCCTTCCTTCCTCCCAATGGTCCAAAGAGGCCACCTGGTTCTATGGAGCCTCGAATGAAAGGCCCCGGGGGGGGGCTCAACAATACACCTACTGCTGATGTTTGCATACATGGTGGGAAGTCTGACCGGGCTCAGCTGCGATACCGCAAATAATCTTCGTCCGCTATCACAAAAGACTCAAAACAGTCAGACGGCGTACACAAATGTCAGAGTGTCCCGGCTCTCCTCTGGGACAGCCGGTATTGATCGGTCAAGCTTGATTGGAGGTAATGTTTTGAGATGGGTTAAGGGGGCCTTTGACTGGGGTCAGATCCACGTCTGCTTGCTGACAGAGTCTGCGTGTTGACCATCTGCAGGGCTACGGAAAAAAACGCTGGGAGCTACAAGCCCCACTGGGCACACAATACTTTGACAGAACAGAATAATCCAAATGCGAATGACTTTAAAACGATTCAGGAGCTTTTTCAAAGAGCCGGTGGTCAGCGGACCTTTAAGGGGGTTTTTATCCTGTTACGCAGCAGATGATAAGATACTTTGGCTTTGTGATTGCTTCCTGATTCCTGGAACTCCTCCGTTCCTCCGAGACTGAGCGCCTGGTCAGCCAACCGGTCAGCCGACAGCAGGTTCACATCCTCAATCGCAGAGGCCAACGTGAAAACAAGGCCCCGTGCCTCTAAACTTTCCCCCGTCCCCCCTCCCCACAAACGTGGTACCCCCCCCCCCTTATGAAACGCCGCTCCGCATTCTACAGCCGTGCACTTGTGGCGCTGATGTGTAAGAATAGTGTCACGTGTCGTTTCTCAGTTTGGCCGCTTCCTGGGGCGGGTTTCGC